CAAAAATTACACCCTTTAAAATTGTACGCCCGGGGACGAACGCCCGTCTTCCACCCCCTAGTTCTGACCCTACGTTCGAACGGACGCGATTTACTCGCGTACCGTTTCGGGAATTTTTCGAACGCGGTCGTGCGGTCGCCGAGCGTGCACGTGCACCACGTCGTAACGTTCCGGCACCGAAAACAAACAACAACGTGTCGGGTGACGGTGGTCGGGCGTCGCCACTGCCGACCGCGGACACCGACGACGAGCATTCAGTTCCGATTCATCCGCGTCATGGCCCGACTACCACTGGTCGTCGTCGTCGTCGTCGTGTCGCTGTTGCTGTGCCTGACGGCGTTCGTGTCGTCCACGTGTCCCCGTCCCGCGGCGGTCAAGCTCCGGTCCCGTCGGTCCATCATCAGGATGCCGTCGAGCGCGCGGTACCTGCACGGCTCGAACCAGCACGGGCGGTCGTACCGCGCCGACGGTCTCTACGACCGGCTGGTCGTGGCCCTGCGCGGCGTCGGGTACGACCAGCGTGCGGTCCGACGACCGAGAAGCGGCTTCGTCGACTTCTACTTTTGACGTGCCAGTCGACCGCAGAGTTGCCGATCCCCGGGACCGACATCGTACAGTCACGTTTCAGTATCGGCCAGATCGGATCATTGTTATTTTTTTTTTTCCCCCGCCCCCGCTCCCTAAGATTATGTTATAGCGTTACGTACTTCAGCGAAGCAAAACGGTCGGTAACCACGTAAATATTGTGTAAGTCTTATGCTTCCCCCCCACCACTTATTTTGTCGCATTACGTTTTGTAGTCTTCAATATTCATACGTATTGCGTTACGTGTTGTATTTGTTAATTTATTGTTTTATCGACGATCTTATTGGAAGGAGAAAATGTTTTCCCACTTTTGTAATGATGATCATCGTCATATTGGTAAAATAAATAATAATAAATGAAAATTATTTTACTCGGAAAGTGTTAGAGTTTGTTTATGATTTAATACGATTCAATCTAAAAAAAACTACGTTGTTTTAGTCGTCGAGATTATAGCGAATTCTAACGGTATGAAGACTTTAACGATTAGTTGTGTCATCCGATTCCGGGTTCGAATCGCTGTTATTAATTGTAAACCTAGCGAATTATGTAAGTGCAATACGAGCGTTTAAAAATATATGGACACAACGAAGTTTTATGGTTACCCATTAAGATGACTGTAAATAACGTTCCATGCGCCTTTTTGATGTTAGTTGCGTCCCAAATATTTTTTGGGTACATGTAAATTGCATCCCATGTTTTTTTTACCTTTCCATTTATCATACTTACCAACATTAATATTATAATATTGGTTTTATTTTATTAGCATATTTTTATATACTATTTTATTTCGTTACTTATTATAGCTTGTAAGTCTACATTGAAATAGGTAAACTTCGAACGACGATTGCCTCACAAATTAAATTTTAGTTATTTCTTTTTAGTTAAAATGTTTACATTTTATTTTTAATATTTCCTTCTTTTTCAATCTCTGATCTATTTCTTGAGCACTAACTTTGTTAAGCTACATAAGTATCAATTTTTATATTTTTCTAAATATATATACAATTACAAATATTTAGACGAGAAGAATTAAATGAATCGTTTAATTTTTACGGAAAGATTTGCAATTACGAGTATACGAGTGATATCGATGATAAATATTCGTATTGTGTCCATATTTTCAGTAGAAAGTCAGCGTCATTTTTAAACATGATTTTAATATATAATTCGCCAATTCTTGTGGTTTTAGTAAAACATTTTTCACATTTTTCAACATATTGTGGATTTAAGAAGGGAAGTCCAATAAATTGTTTTTAAACATAAGTTTTTTTTTTTTTATATATACCATTCATCTTATAATAACAGTATATTATAAAATCAATATCAGTACTAAGCCCCAGAAGTTGGGTATTTATGTGTTAAATTTTTTCTAGGTGAAATCTACATCCCTTTACTTAAATATATGGACATATATTAATTGTATCATATTTTTGATTGAAAAGAGTTGATATTACCTACCCATTAATAAAAATGTTATAATATAGGTAGGACAGATTTTCTTAAAGTGAAGGGGATGTGAAAGGACTTTTCTGAATTGATTTTGATTCTCCACTTGGTTGACAATTTTGAAATATTATCAAAATGTTTTTGGAGGTTTTGGTATACTATTGTGGAGTCGGAATGGGATGAGAGAATTGCCGTGTCGTCAACGTAAGTAACTATCAGTGTATTTTCGGTTTTGGGAATGTCAGCTGTGTAAATGTTGTAGAGGTTTGGTGATAAATCACTTCCTTGAGTTACTTCTGCTTCGATTTTGAATTGTGATGAGAGGAAGTCTTCTTGACGGATGAGGAATGAGCGATTTTGTAGGTAAGAATTGAGCAACAGGTAGAGCGAGTTGGGAGGAACATTTTTAGCTTAGAGTAACTCGGTGTGCCAAACCCGGTCAAACGCTTGTGACATGACTAGAATACTCCCGGGTAGAAGTTTTTGTTCTCAAACGACGAGGCTATTTTGACAACATTTCGGTGGATCTAGTGGGTCGAGGAGTAATTTTTTCTGAAACCAAATTGAATATTTGATACAAATTTATGGGACTTAAGAATGGGTGATTCGTTGTAGCACCACTTTTTTAAATAATTTTCCTAATATTAGTAAAAAACTTATTGGTCTGTATGAAAATTTGGATATAATTACTTATTTGAGAGAATGATTAATTTATCGCGAAAAAATGCGCAGGCTGCAAATTTTTTAAATGCATAACACGTGTACCTTGACTGTAAACTTGATAATTCAAATACATATTTACATATTTGCGAGTGTATCATTACAAAGTATGCCCGGACATGGCAATTAATTAGATCGAGGTTAAAGGTGTTGAAGTTTGTAATCGCAGGTATTTATAATAACACAATGTGTACCTGCGACGAGTACATGTTGATATTATTATTATTTAACTATATTATAATTTTGATTTTAAGCACGTATATGTGATATATTATATTTCACGGTATATGTAGGTTCCGATTTCCGCAGTCATTACAACGTTCATTTTCACATTTCACGACATTATACAAATTAGTAACTTTTTTAAAACAAATTGTAACTGTGTCATACAATGCATAATTTATATTATATATTAGATGCATTTAGACAATATGATGGTTTCACATACATAATAAATACATGGATGACGATAGTAATTAGGATGAAATGTGTCGTACGGATTTTCTCATTTTGGCGCTGTAGTTTACACGACGTTTCAATTATTCATCTTGTCGGTTCCGAGTAATCTATTTGTACTCATCGCAGTTTTCGATAAAATAAAAAACATTAAACACAAATACAAACAAAAATGATGCCAAGAAAAAAATACATTGTGTTGTATGTATAGTTTGATATTTGGGTGTGCCGCTGTGAAGGATAAATGTCGAATGATATAATATTATCATAAACACTATTCAAAAGGTGTAAGAGAAATCAGCTTGCATATGTTTGTTGTTTTTACAAAAAAAAAAAATCTGAATAATACAAACAAATGTTTATCTCACGTTTGTTTTTCAACACTACAGAATTCCAGAAGCTAACCTACATCTGGCGTAACAAATTTCGTTTTTATTGTATTAGTTTAACAAATTACTATAAAAATACTAAAATAAATGTTAATATCCAATGACTTTTTTTTTTTGGACATTATTACAATTTTCTTTAATGTAATGTTAAATAAAAAAAAAAAAAAGGTAGTGTATTTTTTTTAAAATTTATAATTTAAACATTGTACTACTTATACAAATTATGCACACAATTTGCTTAAAACAATGATGCAAGTATACTCCAAGAATTATGATTCCGAGCAATGTCTTTGGTTGCTTATATATTTAACGAACAGTAGATTAATTTATAAACAACCCCACCAGTTCTGAACATTTCCAGATTTTTATAAATCATATCTTCGTAACACTTATAAAATTAACACCAAATGTGGTGTTTCAAATTGTATGTGCTTATTCCTTATAATATAAAAACCTTAAGTTAAACATATTACGAAGCACGAATAAACAAAAAATAGTTAAAACTCATATGACCTAACGTATTTCTTAGTAATTTAGTAATATAAATCAGTCTTTTATAGAGTGAATGGGTATATAGTACCTCAATCATCACAACTATTGTTTGAGTTTTTAAGTTAATTTCAAAGTGGTCGATTACAATTAAGTCTCAAATGTCAAACTATGCTGAATCACGCGATCGTACACAAAAAAACATAGGTTTATTTTTAAACACTTTCCTAGCATACCGTAAGTATTATGACATTTATTTTTTATTCGTCCACCTAAGAGTTAGTGAATATTAAACAATTTTGAATGTAATTATTTAAATACAATAGCTATTAAGTTGTTAAAATAAGAAAACTTTTAATTTTATCATAGAACTACGCGAAACCCATTATTATAAAAAGTAGTTTTCAAGAAACGAAAAATAAAAAATAAATTTCCATGATTAACTGACGGTCCGTCTGCAACTATATATATACTTAATTGGAGACCGGCAATTGACTCTAGGAGAAGCTGTCCAGGTGCAAATAACATACGTGAGATGTGGATAATATCCAGCAGCTGTTCAGTAATACGATCATTTGGCATTAAGATAATTGTAGAGAAGTCGTATAACAGAAAATCATAGGGATTCGCGTTCGTCTATTTAAACTCGAAATTAATTATTATACAACGTATATTTTTTTGTGTTATAATCCGACAGCCTTGGTTTTTGTTTTTTCGCACCGTTGCTTGAGAAAATAAAGTTTCACGTATCGTATTATAGCTATTATTATGTTTGATTATTTTCGTGGGCAAGTGAATTTGACCGGCAATGGTTCAATTATTATTAAAAAAAATAAAAAATAGACCGGCAGGTTAGTTCGTTTCTCGTCGCGTACTTGTTGGTACGGGACTTGCGAGTTTAGTTGTTTTCACTACGAGAAACAGGGCCGATAAAACACCCGTATCCGATTTCTGAGCGAACGAAGTGGGCGTTGGATGAAATCGTTGGATCATAACGATCGGACGGAACGTGTTGGCTTTCGGACGGCAAAGAAAACGTGTGCGGCAAATCGGTCTGTTAACGCGGCGGTCGTCGAACGCGTTGAAAACGTTCCATTTAGTACATAGCGCGCGTTCGGAATGAGAAAGAAATCGCGTTGCCGAACGTGTCACGAATTCGGGCGCGCGTTATCGACGAAGAACACAAAACAAAACGGTCCGGTAGCGCGACGGAAATCTTGGGTTTCGGGGTCGGCGCGAGCCGAACAATGGTGTTTACTTCCAGAGTCCGAGCGCGTGCCGAACCGCGGAAAATCGAGATCGCAACACCGCCGCACGGTAATCGTTTATCAGAAGTTAAGCCGTGTGCAACCGCAGTCGAACCCCGCGACGAGATGGACCCGCGATCGTTCGCGTTCTTAGCCGTCGCCTTCCCGCTGTGGTCGGTCGCGTACGACCGGAAATCGCCGATAGCGTTGGTCGCGTACGACCGACAGTCCGTGGCGGTGTCCACCATTCGATCTCGCCGGTGCATCATCAGAATTCCCAACTGTTCCGTCCAGCACGATCCGCGGTCTTTGATCGGCTACGCCGTGGAAACGGACAACGGCGATGACGACCGCGAAGTTTGTTGTTTTAGTTCGGCGCAGCCTCCTTCGTCACCGCCTCCGCCGACCTCTAAACGTACTATAATCGTATTTTTTCCGGTTATGCGCACAATCATTTTATTTACGCATACACTGTTCTACGGAATACTAAATTAGAATACCGTACACGTAATCGCGTTTCCAAATCTATCACGAATTTAATATTAGTTATCTACGAGCTTAACGAGAACACATCGAAAAATTGATAGACGATAAAAAAAAACCCGTTCCTTGTTGTAATATGAAACTTGCTGATAGCTTATACTTTGTATGCATACGCGACTCGATGAATTTGTGCGCAGAAAAGAACATTTTTAATTTTATGGAACGTAAATTAATCTGTGTTTTTCTATTATTTATTACAACCCCATCCTATTAGATTTGCGTTCAAAAATGCTCCGTTGAAAGGCTTTATGTCAGTTTTGAACGAGAATCTCTACTTGCATTTCAGAAAAGAGATAATTTAAATTTTTGTAATTTTGTTTACGAGAATCATTTATGCTTAATTATTTTAATTTTATTTTAAATAAAATATATATATAAAAAAAAAATAGTATATAATATTATATATAATTTGTATAAAATTTATGTTATATTAATTTCCTCTCTCTCTATTTCTCTCTCTTTTATAATATAATATAATACTATAATTTTTACAATTAAATATTGATTTTGGCTTGGTTTTGTTATGTTTCTATACATTTCATACAATATGTATATATATTTATTGGAGTAAAACTATTATGATAAAAAAAATCTTCAATTAATGTGATTTCTAGGGTTCACCACGGACAATGAATTGTTATCTGCAATCGAAAATGATCAACGAAAAAATGAAGAACTGCAGCAGGTGGTTAATCAGGAACAGTGGATTCAAATTCAGTGGAATTTATTCAAGTACATACAATAAACTAGGGAATTAATTGATATTATGTATAGATTCCATGGATTAAATGTATATTTGATTTATGTATAAAAATAAAAAGTTTACACATATTACGTTAAACTAGTTCCGTTCTCGTTTTAATTATTTGTTGCCTATGCACGGATAACTGCAGTGCATACAATTATAAATATTTATGCTAATTATTTTTGTAAGGGTAAATATTAGAAATGTTAATTTTATTATACTCAATAATACCAGTCACATTTCCAAATATGTACCATAGCCATATTTTCCAAAAATTGGGAAAATGGTTTCATATTCCAACATTTATAATTTATATAGTTATTTCATCGGTATGTTAAATTTCAATCATTAATACATTTTATCGCAGGAAGTTCATTTTCTTCAAATCTGTTCAGAGAAGAACCGTTTAGTAGGATTTCATTATATTGACCGTTGTAGGTACCACACAAGTTTACGTGGAAAATCAACTATCAAGTTTATGCGACGGATGAAAAATCATTAGTATTGTGTAAATACACTCGTACATCAAAATCAACGCATTAACGGAAATTATTGACAACATCATATAAGAATACTACAATGTAGGTTATGTAAAATTTGATGTGTAAAATCATCGATATCGACCGATTGTTCAATATATTAATGAACAACATTGGTTAGCGTATTGTTTTCGGCTTTTGATTTACCTATTTTTATTCTTGAAGTGTTCGTATAATATACTATTAATATACACCAAAATATCACGAGAAACTTATGTAAATTAATGGAAAGCCATTATAAATAAATTTACATTACCTTATTTGGAGTCTTACGTATTTTTGTACTAATTGACATTTGATGATTGATACTTCTCAGAACTTGAACAAAATTTGATCTTACAAACAAACGTTTCATTTAATGTTAGCTAATATATTTTTTGATCTGTGGTGGTCAAATGCATATATGTATTGTTATTTTTGTAAACCAAATAAAATCAGTGTGTTATTTTATTTTAAATTAGTGTGTTCACTCTATAGTATTTTATTTTTTCACAGTCTGCAAACATTTCTTTAAATTTCATCTGAAACTTTAGAGTACTTAAATCAGTGATTTTTGATATGTTTTGTATATTTTTTTTTGTCTTTAATCTTCGAAACAAAAATATGGAATTTGTGTTTGGCTATCCAACGATATGATGTAAAAATATTTTAGAGATTTTACAGGTTGTACGTTCTATATTCTAAAGCTATTGTAACTAGACTAAGCTAAATAATTGTGTTAGATAAAATTAGTGATTACTATTTAGCAATAATTAACCAAAGTTGGTATTGGTTTAAGATTTAAAATTGGCTTACACCTAAAGCCTAGTGTTGCGTCAATAATTTCAATAATGTTCATAATATTCATTGACATTCATTAAAAACTAAATCTCAAACAAAATTTGAAAATTTAAGAATTTTATTGTTTCGAAAATATAGTTTTAATTAATATTTTAAATGAAATAGACATTGACATTGACGGTCTGCTGTACCTAGATTAGACCTTCGTAGAGATATACTACGATTATATTGCTTAGTTTGTATGAATATTATGAATTTTTTTTGCTTTATAGTAATATGTAAATGATTTCCAAATGTAAGATTATATATTTGTTATAAAGTTTAATTTTTTTTATACAATAAACAATCCAGACGGTAATATAATGGATTTTCGATGTTTTTATCTGTCAAGTTTACCAAAGACGATGTGCTGTAAATCTTAATATTATTGTTATTGCAGGTGTACGTTTTTTAAACACATTGTTCTCTATTTTACTTGACAAAGAGAAAAATATATTATTTTATAAACATGTTCGTGCGTACGCGTCCCAACTTTTTCGATTTTAATTTAATCGCACGATGTGTACACGTAAGAATAATCGACAATTGTGAAAGTCAAGTGTCTTAAAAATAGGCACGGAATTAAGTTGTGTTTAGTATCTATACGACGCTCTATTCGATCAATGTCAAATCGAATACTGACGTTTAAATTAATGTAAATAATGTATAAGGTACGTTTAAATATTTTTTTTACCTACGTATCTGATAAATTAATTTGTGTTGAAAATATGTAATGAATTATTCGAATCCAGCGTAGCTACACTCGTGCACTACACTAGCGGTACTATAAGTTCCATACTACTTTATTTATAAATACTTAAAAAACAATAAAGTATATAAGAATGTATTAAAACTATGAATCTAATTCGTAAGTGTAATTAATACTGTAAGTAATACCGTTATTTAAACAGTACATATAAACTACAATGTTGAATTCAGATAAACAAATACTATATCGGGTTAATAATATATATATATATGATAATTATACGACAGTTAAAAATTTAACGAACGATCTGCATTCAGATAAATACACAAAATTTACCAAAGACTTACATTTTGTTCTACGGGATGTTTTATTAATTCCCTCTTTAATATTATTACTATATTCTAGTTTTACGCAATAGAGTTAAATGTCCAAAAGACTATGAATTAAATGTATGTTTAAAGCGTGTAAGTAAATGTGTTTTTTAGTTTTCGATCATTAAAGTATTTCGCTTTGCTGAATATTTCCTTAGAAAATTCCGATTATAATCAAACCATAGTTGGCGACGCGTGTATTGTATGGTTATCAAACCAATAATGTTTTAATAATATGTGTGCGTTAAGTGTTTAGAGAAAGTTCACCGAAATGGTTCGTCGTTTGATCAGTCGACATGTGTTGTATGGTACGATTACGATAACGGAAACGAGAGTTAAAACATTGATGTATATTTATATGTGTAGTTAAATAAATGTTATACGTCTTTGCGCTCTTCAGATGAAAAAATGCGTGCCCGTGTCGTTTGACAGCGTATGAGTATATAAATATATTATCATGTACGGATTTGTGTGAAACGCTTTTAAAAAGTATTTAGAATATATACTCGAATACTTGCACACGATTATATTTAATATTTACGTTTTTTTAACCATATGGTACAAGTATTTCAAGTGTTATAAATAATTTCTAGCAGGGTAATACGAAGAGAAAAAAAAGTCTAAAAAAAACTGTTATTTTTGATTTATAAATTTTGCTTCGAATACATTTTTTATAAGATTTTTTTATTTTATTTATATCTTGGAAATATACTGCTTATTAAACAAAATATACATTCCTCGCTACACTTAGAATCTAAAAAATGTTTAGGTATCTGGGAAGTAACATATTATATTTAAAACTAATATATATATAAGAGAATTATGTGTAATCATAACAAGTCGTAGAGATATTTTTTTATTAATATTTTTTTTTCTTTATACGGGATTTTTTTATTTATGGATAAAATATTTTAAAAGTGTAAAACTTTATTTTATAGTGTTTGTTTTTTTCAATTGTTGCAAACGATACATACTTAATTATGACGCAAATAACGTATGGTTTAAAATAATAATTAATAATAAATTATCGCTACGGTAAATAATTACTAAGTTACCTACCTTATTTGTAATATTTATAATAATAACATAAATTAATTTATTAAACACGTCGCGGTGTGTTTGAAACATTTAAAAGAAAGTTCCATTAACACGCATTCAACTCCCGTATAGGCTTGTAAATATAAAATCACAATAAATATCCACTTGATCCGATGGTACATTGTCGTTTTAAAAGCAGAATATTTTACAAACGCCTCACGCTTTGATCGACACACGTTCGGAGTACATCTATTCCGAATGGTGTTCGTATTGAAGAGTGAGCATATTAAACGTGTACGTTTAGTTTTTTCATGTACGACTTTAATAATGAGTGATATTTCATTTATAGACGTCCGTCGTTGGTACGATACAAAAACAAGAGTAGTAATTGAGTTTATCAAAAGCTCTACCTGCTATAGTCAAATTTTATGCTTTAAGGAAGGGTCGCACCGACGTATTTATGTATATATTACGTATCTTTCTCTCCATCTTGCGCACAGTGTGTGTTATGCATGCTTGTTTATAATATAAATACATATATGTATGTACGATGAATTGGTGAGCCTCCGGCGTGTGCTTTTGAAAGGCTCGCAGCGGGTTAAATCGCTAATTACCTTGTCATCCAGACAAGCCATTAGAAATGTCTCTTCGTCTTCTGTGTATATTATTATTATCGTTAAGGCGTACACTGCGCACTGCTCGTATCATATTAATATCGCGAACACACTCACCCCAAGTAAAAATTCAAAACGTTTTGCTTCCGTTGTGTTTCGTACGCCTCCGCGGTGTACACACTCACTCTCGGCGTATATTATGCTACCCTGCGTGTGAGCTGCTGATGTTGCGCTGGAGGAACTCGCAGTCGGTGGTGAAGGGTGCACGGCATAGGGAGCAAATGTTATTACATGTATTTGTGACAAACGCGACGCTTGCAAATTGGTCTCTTTTATACGTTCGTCGGCTATATTATATACATGCTCGCACACCAGTATACATATATATATATATATTTATGCATACGAATCTTGAACGGAGGGTCCGGCGCACGGGATTAATTCCACTATACAGTATACGTCGAATTGCCTAACTCAATCAATCATTTCTCTTTTACCGGCTACCTTTATTGCATTGCACCATTCTCCAATCCCGTTTAGACGTATAGCTACCATTAATTTGTTATGATCCTACTCCGAGGATAAGTAGCACGCTATCTCAACTCTCTGTATAGATATAATATCTTTCTAGAAACAGTTATCCGTCGATGCTTACGATCGATTTGTTGTGGAGTTCTTATAAAATTATGTACACTCGCGTTTACAGATCTATACTCTGCACGTGGTTATTTTATTGCAGACTTATCTGGTTGTATCTGGTTGTAACACTTGAAAAACATTGGTGAAACGGTTTTTCAAAAGGTTATTATGAGGACACATGACATCCCTAAAGTGTACAACTAGTTCCATCCCTTGGCTACTCTACCGTGTGTATTACACACATACATTGAAGTGCCAAAGGGTGACTAAGAGAACTATAACCTCCCCCCCCACCATTA